AGATTGAGAGGTAGAGAGAGAGAGAGAGTGACCAACCCACCAGCCAACAAACGCTACCGTTTGCGCTAATGTGGCAAATAGGCAAATACGACGGCGCCGAAGTGCCGTTTGCGCGAACGTGGCAAGGATGGCGTTTGCGCGAGGGCGGCAGAGCCGAAGTGCCGTTTCACCCACCTGCGCTACGCGGTCACAGGCCAAAATTTTTAGTGCCCAAGGTCCAAGGACCAAAACGCCGTTTCGCCAACTACTGCAAACGGCGACGTTTCCGCTACTACCGCCTCCCAAAAGCCCAACGACCACCTCAACAGCGGTCCTACGCCTCTGCGCCCCCTGCTAGGCCCCGAAACCAAAAAATGCCCACCCTCCGGACGACCACGACGTTCAAATTTGACGTTCAACGTTGAATGTCTCGAGGGGGGAAAGCGCATCCGTGACGGGCTGCGAACACAGGTACCTGCGGCTGGAAAACTGCCTCTGGTCCAGCCTTCCTTTTCAGACCCAAAAACCAATGCCCTGCGCCGGGTTATATGTGACAGCACGGGAATGGCAGAATGGCAGACACCCTTCCCGATATCCGTTTATTTGACTCCTTCGCTGCTCCGAACTCGGGCCGAGCTTTGTCGCCTGAAACTGAATTCGAACTCACGACCTGTTTGTCAACAGTTACATGTGCACCACTGCGGCGCAAGGTGTGCGGTACTTGACCCGTTTTACCTGTCCAATCACGTTCATTTGGGCCGTTGGCTCGAGGCTACCAAGTTGCCAATGGTACTGATCCGAGGCGGCGGCCGGCGGCTGCTGGCGTGGTCCTGTCTTGGCAAGGTGGGAGTACAGGGTCTCGGCAGGGCGGGCGGAACGAAGTGGTAGGTAGGCTGTTGTCCACGGTGATCCTCCTGTGCCGCGGCAGTGAGATACGTTGCTGGCGCGGCGAATAGGGCGATATCGCTCGCCGTCGGACTGTTGTTGTAGCATCTGAAGCGCCCTCTCGCTGTCTCAGTGAAAGTCGAGTTGGTCACTCCATCTCCTATTTCGCCTATGTTCTGTGTGTTCGTGGGCTCGATGTGAGGCGGGAAATCTAACCCACATTGGATGGAAAGGGGAACGAAGCCAGCATGTTCGCTGCGGTACTGGTGTGTTAGTCAATCATGTTCCTGGCGATGGCTTTTCGGTAGGCCGAACAAAGTCCTCCCTAGAGCGTGCAGCCTTCGCTCATCCGCTCATAATGCCGAGACAGGAGGGCGGCATGGAGGGTGATGATCCATGTTAACTGTGTGCGTGCACTTTTGGCGTGCGTAGCCGGGCGAGCCTGCCCTTGTTTCCTTCAGCAGCTGTCTATCTACATCACGTGTAGGGTTTTCATTATCTAGCCTTAGCGAGTTTTGAAGGACAGGACGCTCATTAAGGAGTTCAGTGACGTTGAAGAGCTTGAGCACTGTTCTGCCAGTGGTGGTTGGCTTCGGAGGTCCACAATTCATCTACCGCTCAGAAGGAACTCTTGACCAGTACAGAGCGGCGTTCTGCAGCAGCTATGGATGCCTTCCGGAAGCAGCTCGACGCCCTCATGGGCGCGAATCGTAACGGCGATGTACAAGAAGTGAAGCGAAAATACTATGCGCGAGACGTCTGCCGATATTTTCTCTGTGGATTATGCCCCCACGATCTTTTCCAAAACACGGTGAGTGTCGTTCTTGCCGCCGCCTCGAGTGGTTGGTGATCACATCATGATGAAGTCCTCGTTTTACCCTGACTCGGCAGAAGTTGAGCCATGAAAAGGACTATTATTGGAAAGCGTTTTCGCGATTGACGCAAATGCTTTCATCGGTGGGACTGTCCTGCGCAAAAGGTGGAAATCGCGTTGTGAATCGGTTGAAAGAAAAATGATAACGTGAAACCGCATGTTGGCATCCATTGGCGAAGGGATTACGTCATTTGCCAATGAGATCGCAGGCAAGCGGACTGGAGAATGTTCTGATGAATGAGGTCGTTGGAAGGGCGAATCCGAGCAGAAGAACAATGTACAGGAGTCTTGAGAGGAGAGGATGGAAGGGGTGGGCCGGGAAGCACACAGATTGTGCGGTGTGTGTGTGTGGAGAGAGAGAGAGAGAGAGAGAGAGAGAGAGAGAGAGAGAGAGAGAGAGAGAGAGAGAGAGAGAGAGAGAGGGGGGGGGGGGGG